TTCATTGTTGTTAGGTTCTTCAGTACGTGTTTCATAATCAGACACGTCTAGTTCATTGTTTTGGTCTTCTCTATTTTTAGAGAAGCCTTCTGTATTTTCTAGTGAGACTTGTTCGTCCCAACTAAGTGTGCTGTTGTCAGAGGTGTTTAGTAGAGCAGAAGTTGCCAAAGCTGTTGGAGAATCGTTTGCTGCTATAGTATTCTCTTTGAAGTAAGAACCTTTTTTGTTATATGCAGTAAGCTTTTTCATATCAAAATAATTATTAAACTTGGTTCTTTTGTGTTTGCAAGCTTCAATAGTCAGAGTATTACATTTCTTAGGAACAAGGAGAGGTACCCCTGTTCTGATACTATTTTTAAAAAGAAAAGAGTTCTTTAATAGATTAATTTTGTTTCTTCAAAATTACTCTTAACCCTAAACGCAAGTGGTCAGAAAAGAGAGATCATTGATCTTCACCTCTTCGAAATGAATTTTAAAAATACCAAATTATAATATATTGCGAATATATACGAATAGATCCTTTTTGATAATTTTGGTTAAAGGATCTGCAAGAGAGTTTTTTTTTGATCTTTTAATATAAATCTTTTTTATATGTTTTGTATAATGTACTACTTTAGTTTAATTATATTTGTATTACTTTTTTAATAAATCACTGCAAGTACAAAAATATTAGTATTATCTTTTAAGAATTTATTTATATAATACTTTATATAATAGAATCTTTTGTATTATTGCTATTATACTGTGTCTTCTCTTTACAAAGTTAATCTTTTTTCAAGAATTTTTAATTCATCTTTGTACATTATTTTGAAACTTTTTACAAGACTTAATATCTGATTTGACTTCTATTTTTAAATTACAAAGTTTAAAATCTTTAAATTTGCCTTTAGTTAAACTTAAACTATTGATTTAGACTGTGAGAGATTAGTAGTTTTACTATTAAACTATAGAACCCAACTTCTAAAAAATTATATTAAAACTATAAGTTTAAAATTAAATTTAAAACATTTATTATAAATAAGCAAAAAAAAAAATTTATTAAAATTTTTTTTTAAAATTGTATATTTTTGATTTATAAATAATTTAATTTTTTTTTTATAATTTAAAAATAAATACTACAAAAAAATATTCCTTATTTTCAAATATTATTATACTAAATTTTATTTTAATATTTTAAAAAAATAAATCAAAGCTAAAAAAATATAATAATGCAAACAAATTTTCCTGTATTGGTCTACAATCTAAAGAATAAGAAATTGTAAATTTTAAAGAACTATATTGCAAAATTTTTTTAATACGACTACTTTTGTGTCTTAAGTAAAAAAATGATCCTGATCATATTCCAAATTAATTTATGTAAAAAAAAATCAAATTTAAAAAATTCGGCAATTTCCCTCTTTTTGTAGCACCTAGCCTAGCCCATATAAACTAATAATTACTTATAAACGAAAAATTAACATATCCTATATAGTGTTCCTATCCATTTATCCATTGGATATTCAGATCTGAATTTATTCGGATATCCGTTTATTGCTATCCGGATAATTATACGAACACCTGTCGGTATCTGAGCGATTTTGAATTATCCAGGTAATCAAAGACGGATAAACCGATGACAGATCTCTAATCCTATAGTTAGGTTGATAAAAATGGATGGTTGATATTCAACGAGATTGAATTAAAGAGGTTGATATCAGCGAAGTTGATATTAGCGAGGCTGACATTAAAGAGGTTAATATTAGCGAGGTTGATATTAACGAGGTATACTGTATATTTTTCACTGTGCAAACTACAAATCTTCAAGATTCTGCCAAATTCCCAGTTTAAAACAAAATCGCTCAAATCCAAAACACAAACCTTATGTTTTTTTGGCAAGTATATTATCGCAGTGATTGATTATGTAGAAATTATACCTATGCTGCAGAATTTATGTCTTTAATCTGTTGTACTATGAACTATAATATACGACACCCATACAAAAGTAGAAGCCCGAAAGTTATTAAAAATAAATTAAGTAATATATCCATAAACGTAAGAAAATGTCAAAAAATACATTTTAATTACAAAAGTATACGTAATATGTTACGTACAAGATCAAATAATGGATAAAAAATGCGTCTATATATAAATAGCACGAGTACATAATCTAACAACAAACGATTAAACGTTAATGTCCCTGTTGGTAAATAAGGGTGCCTAATCCGGCGAAAAATAAAGTTACAATTTTGTAAAAAAAAAAACAATCGCCAAATATGGAATGTAGGTAAGCAAGCAAAATCCCTTCGAGTTCTACCTAAAAAATATACCTATACCTAATTATTTTCGTAATAAATGAATGTCATTTCAAGCTCATACATTAAAATAAAACCTTGCTAAAGGCGGGAAATGTATGATAATGATACCAGGGATGGTATATTTGATACCAAAGAGAACCAGTAGATATTACGGTAAGAGTGGTGTTTCTTCTGTCACGCAGACGTCTCGTTTGCAAATAGGACACTAGTGTGGATTGCAAATAACATTTAAAATTAAAAATCATACTTATAATAACTTGATATAATTACTCTCACACTTACAAATCTCTTTGTTTTTAACCAACTATCGATACATTCGACATGATATTCATGTTTGCAAGGCATAATTTTTAGCTCGACTTCATCAACAAAATCTTCTAAACAAATGACGCATTCTTGTGGTTCATTATCTTGCCTCTTTGAGCGATAAAAGATTTTCGTTGGAAGGTTGTCGACAACCTGTTGAGGGGTAATATCTTGTTTGCGTCTTTGACGCTGACGAATGCGCCAAAGAACATAGATAAAAATCATCATCACCGTTGGTGACAGAATCACCACAATGATAACATCTAATAAAGGCCTAAAATGTATTATTTTAACATTTAGATACTAATTTGAATTCGTATAAACTAAATCACAAAATATGAATTCGTTACTACCACTGTAAGAGATCATCTTTAAGTAATTGAATTTCCACCGGCGCTTTAGCAATCAATGAGAGAGATTTGAGGTCTCTATATTCAGTTTGGGCAACAAATACTGACGGGATTTTTACATCAGAAGTATCCCCTAAAGAAATTAAAGAAATTAATGATTAAAGCATAAGAAGCGTGCGTATATTTAATAATTGTAGCAGAACGAATTTAGCAAAAAAATAAAATAAAATAAAATAAAAAGAAAAAAAGGAAAAAAAAAGATAAATACATCTTTGTATAGACTCACCAGTGGCATACATAGTAATCAGACCGTTGTGTTCGTTGTCCCCAACTACGACGGCAATAGCCCCGGATGCTTGCATGTTTCGCACTTTATCGATAAAAGAACACTGACCGCGTTCAATAAGAGCTATCCATTTATCATTATCGTATTTTTTTTTAAGCCTATTACATCCTTTCTGATTGTCACCCTCATTCTCGATTGTTCCTACAGATACAAGGTTGCCAAAAAGACCTTCGTCAGTAAGACGTGGACCAAATGCGGCTATCCTATCTTGATATGTTACATTCGTGGCCTAAGTTGGTAATTAAAATTACAAAGACAGTTATTAAACTATTGAACCTTTTTAACTAGAGAAAGGAAAAAAATGTTAAAAATATTGTACACAAGTATTTTCGTGACGTAAAAGACAGAAAAAAAAAGAATCTTTAAATGCAATTATTTCCAATTTAGAGTAAGAACATTTTGACAATTTGTGTTATTATAGACCTATGTCTTTACTCATGAATTACCAGGAACCTAACTAATGCAACAAGAAAACGAGACCTACTACGACAACAATGGTGGCATCAGCAACAGAATTACCAAGGTGACACCAATGAGCGACAAAAAAGAATAAGAGTAACAGGGACCGCTTAGACAAATGTACGAACATGGGCATGAAGAAGCAATGTGAAAAGTCGAAGCTGGCTACTTCGACACTTCGACAATACTTTATTATAGCTATGTGGTACAACGCTATCGGACTTAAATATATCGATATAGTCACACGATTCTCCACCACCCCTCTGGCATAACTACCAAATTGTCATTTAAAAATCTGATTGGGTATATATGGCTACCCAACGTTTCAAAAAAATTTTTATTGCGCAATGAATAATAAATTTATTGCTAATTAATATCAATTATACGTATACTATTTAATATTAAAAGTTTTGAGCTCCGACTTTTTGTAAAAAATAACGCCCGGGGGTGTAATTTCGAATTATGGCTTTATAATCCAGAATAACGTTCAAGAGTGTTATTTCGCGCTTATACGTATAAGTATACATCTTTGTTCTTTAGACTCTTTTAGTTCTTTCAGCCTTTTTTTTTCTACAATCCCCACATTTAGGGGAATACTATTTATTACGTGATTTCAACATGAGGTTAGCTAGTGATCACTTACATATATAAAAGATATACAGTAACTATATATATGTATAATAACTAGTATATACATAGTATATATATAGAACATAAAATTTTATTAATAGTTTGGATCTAGACTTTTGTATTACCAGTAGTATATTTATTAAAAGCTTTAGCAAATTAAAAAAAAGTTATATACAAAGATTAGATAAATAATTTTTTTTTGTTTATATATTTCTTTATATATTTATTATTACAACATTAATATTTTAAGAGTAAAGGGTACTATATTAAAATTATATATAAACTCAATAGTAAAATTTTTTTATATTTAATTTTATAAAAAATTATATTAA